ATTGTGGTCAAGGAGGGCACCAGCTCCAGCAGTGTCCGGTACGTCCCAACTCGGGATCCACGAGAGCAGAGGGACGGTCATGTGATCTTCCACCTCCTGGGGCAGGTGTGACTATCCCCTCTTCATCACTTTCTGTCAAACCCTTTTTGGTGTCGATCACACTAGTTGACTGTCCCTCATGTACTGTTTCTACAGTGTTAGTGGATTCTGGTGCCGCGCGGAACTTTATTGACCAGACCCTTGCCTCCTCTTTTAACATCACCTCATACCCGCTCTCCTCTCCTTTCCCGGTTTAAGCCCTCAATAATCGGCCATTAGGTTCCGGGACCATCACACACATCACCAAACACCTCACCCTCACCGTGGAGTCACTGCCAGGACCGGCAGGGAGAGTGGGCCCGATTCCTTCCATGGGCAGAGTACGCCCAGAATTTGTTACATCACTCCTCCACCGGGCTGACTCCCTTCCAGTGTGTTCTGAGTTTTCAGCCGGCCCTGGCTCCGTGGACCCCGGTCCAAAAACAGTCAAATGTGACGTGTAAGACACAGGGTTGTACGGAAGTCCAGAGAGGACATATGAATAAAAAAATTATTATCTTGTTATGTCGAGATCACAACTTATTTATCTCATGATCACGAGATAAACTCTATAAATAGGAGTGGAGGTATTGATGATAGATTGATAGTATGGCTGAGGCGGCAGAGCCCACGGTGGATCAGCACATCCGCTTTTATTTTGATAAGTGATTAACCCAGGCAGAAATTGCATTACATCTGTCAGTTATAGATGGCTTCCAGTTTTGGCTCCAATGCCATCAAATTTGAAAGACATGTAAAAGTGTGGTTGCACTACTATTTTAAATGGATTGAATGTGGAATGTTCAGTGCAAGAAAAGTTAACATTGAGGTCTGTGGTTGCAGACTACCAATTAAAGTTTACCAGACTACCCATAAATATTTATTTTAATCTCTTTAATAGTTTTAACAGGGTGGTTGGCCTGTCAATAGCAGCAAAAACACAGTCACAAACAACAAGTAGTACAGAAACATTTAACTGGTAAAACAGCTAAAGTGAATCACGTTGAGGTTTCTAAATACTACAACATTTCATGAAGGCTGCAGTCTATTTGTCATTAGGGCTAAATGTTGTGGTGCTGAAGGACAGCTCCGCCATTCATCCAGTTATAACAAATAATCTCACTGACTAGACCAGCGTTTCCCAAACTCGGTCATGGGGACCCCAAGGGGTGCATGTTTTGGTTGTTGCCCTAGCACTACACAGCTGATTCAAATAATCATAAAGCTTGAATATGAGTTCATTATTTGAATAAGCTGTGTGGTACTAGGGCAAAAACCAAAACGTGCACCCCTTGGAGTCCCCAGGACCGAGTTTGGGAAACGCTGGACTAGACACATATAGTTTGTTTGGAATGTGCAATTCCTCAGTTTGCCATTGTCAGTTTGCCATTGTTTGCCTTTTATTGCTGGAGCTTTGATAAGAAGGCCCCGGCCTGTACACTAGCACATGGTTACTTAACAGATCTTACTGCCTCTGGTGCACTGTGACACTGCTGTCAATCTATCCTCAATACGGCCATTCCTGTGGGCGGCAGGTAGTAGGTCACTGGTTCGAATTCCTGAGCTGACTAGGTGAAAATAAAATCTGGCAATGTGCCCTTGAGCAAGGCACTTAACCTTAATTGCTCCTGTAAGTCGCTCTGGATAATAGCGTCTGCTAAATGACTAAAATGTATAGAGTTTATCTTGTGGGCTCGACGAAACAACTTTTGTTATGTCATGATCATGAGATAAATATGTTGTGATCTCGACATAACAAGGGAATAATTTTTTTATTAATATGTCCTCTATGGACTTCCGTAGGGTTGTGTCTCATGAAGATAAACATAATGTGAAATGCTACATATTTTATGATCATACAGTAGTATGCCAATCTCCTTCAACTGTACACTATTTCATTCTGACCTATTTGGTTCCAATAACATTTCTTGTTTGTATGTCAAATAATACACCAAATTGGAGAAATGTTTCAAATGACATTTTAACAGTACCACTAAGTACTGTGAATACCAAATATTATCAAAACGTTTAGTATATTTCGATACTGGGTTGCGCCAGAGCCATAGAATGTTTGATTGTTGCAGTTTCTGTTGATTATGACCTAAACTTGTTTATTGAAACCAGGAAATCCCAGTAGATGATGCATCTAGTTTTCAAGGGAGGCAATCATATATTCAAATATTTTTTGGAATGTATTCAATGTATTCAATGTTGATTGAAACCAGGAAGTCCCATTTAGATCTCTTGGACTTCAGTGTAAACCATGCATCAGAGTCAATGGGAGAAGTGCACAGATCTTCAGTTAGCATTCAGCCCTGACTGAACTACAGCAGAGGCACATGGCTCCCTTGCACTAATCTATTTAAAACCTGTTTACACACACACATACACACACACATACACACATACAAACAGACATACAGCAACCAAACAGTATTAGGGACAGACACAGCGACGGCCATTGACAGAGGCACAACTCCATTCTCCATTAGTTAAGGATACAATGCGACTGACATGACTACAGTCCTGAAAGAGAAGCACCGAGCCCTGGAGAGGTTGTCCTGCAGACTGCTGGTACAGCAGCTCTTATCAGAGTAAACTAATGTCATGGTATTGCTACTCAATCTAACTCTACTGCTACAGCTCAATGTCTGCCGTGTGGGGCGTACAAGGAGCATGTCTGCCCCGGTGTAGTGTTACACACACCGTTGTGTCTATTTCTGATGTCCCCACTCTCTCTTCTCTCTCTCTCTCTCTTCTCTCTCTCTCTCTCTTTCTCTCCCCTCTCTCCAGGTTTAACAGAGCCATCTTGACCCTCCAGGGTGAGAGATGGACCCCCAGGTGATGGTGCCTGGTCAGGCTGAACATGGACTTCTTCTGCTGGGGCAGCTGGAGAGGATGTGGGGTGCCAGGGAACTAACTGACGTGGTTCTCCTGGCCGAGGGCATTCCCTTCCCCTGCCACCGGGTGGTGCTATCCGCCTTCAGCCCTTACTTCCAGGTAAGATAATTGTGCTTGTTTCAATGAACCCCAAATAAATATTTACAATTTTACCATGGTGTTTACCATACTTCTGTCATCCCGACCCTGTTGTCCCTCCAGGCCATGTTTACCTGTGGTCTGAGGGAGACCCGTGGAGGTGAGGTGCCTCTCAGGGACACTCCTGCCCAGAGCCTGGAGCTGCTCCTGGGGTACATGTACCGCGCCCAGCTGCCTCTCTCCCATGACAACACTCAGGGAGTGGCCGCTGCTGCCTTCCTGCTGCACATAGACGGGGCATTCAGGTGGGTTCAGGTGGCTACTGTTAGCCATGACACGACTAACACAATCACTACATTATGGTCACTATTACAGGTTGTGCCAGAGCTACATGTTGGACAGCATGGATACTTCCAACTGTGTAGGACTGTACCACTGGGCCAGAGACCTGGGGGCCGCTGACCTGGTAGATCTCGCCCTGAGATACTTGTGTCGTCACTTTTCCCAGGTAGGACCGTATCATTCAGTATAATCTAAGATTTCTGCCCAACCGCCACAGTCATGGCTATTTCCTCTTCTCACCACAACAGAGCAGTAGTTTCCTGCATCTCTCTACAGAGCTGTCTGAGATATAAACATTTATTACACGTATTACCTCCACTCTCCCTCCTCTCTCTTACAACGTCATCTCTTTGTATCACCTCTCTTCTCTTTCTCTCTCTACCCTCCTCCCCTCTCCTTCTCTCTCCAGGTGTGTCAGGAAGAGGAGGTGTTGGAGTTGGATGCCCAGAGTCTGGGGGGTCTGCTGGGTTCAGACGACCTGAATGTGACCCAGGAGGAGAGCGTCCTGGAACTGGTGCTGCGCTGGGTGGAGAAGCGCAGGGGAGATGAGCAGAGTGAGGCCCAGGCCGTGGAGCTCCTCAGGCGGGTACGACTGGAGCTGATAGACCCCAACTTCCTCAGGAGGGCCAGGAGGAGAAACCCGGTGCGGATGGAAAGAGAAAGAGGAGAGGATGGAGAGAAGGAGATTTTAAAGCTACGTCCATCCTACTAATTGTAAGTCTATGGTTTCAGGTATTACTCCGGGATGCGGAATGCTTCGGGATGATCGACGCGGCTCTCCAGACTTCCTATCTCTCTGTGGCGGCTGCCCCCCCTCGCCCCACCCTGCGTTACGGGATGGAGACCACAGACCTGCTCCTCTGCCTGGGGGGAACTGATGAAGGGGGCGTCCCAGCCCGCCGCGGGGGTCAGGCTGACCTCAGCTTCTGCTTCGCCCCCCAGGCCAGAAGGACGTACTACATCCCCTCTCCAGTGAAGGGGACAGGGACGATCACGGCAGGGGCGGTGACACGGGACAACAGCATAGTGGTGGCTGTAGAAGAGGAGGACGAACACAGGACCAAGAGGCTGGGGATGTACAGGTGTGTGTGTGTGTGTGTGTGTGTGTGTGTGTGTGTGTGTGTGTGTGTGTGTGTGTGTGTGTGTGTGTGTGTATAATACATACCTGTCCTCTGTCGTCTGCCCAGGTATGATCAATCTTGTGAGGGCAGCTGGGAGGAGCTATGCTGGGTGGGGTACAGGGACATGTATGTCCTGGCGGCGCTTGGCGATGCCCTCTACCTGCTGGGGGGACAGATGAAGGTCAGGAACCATTACGTCATCACCAACAGTGTTGAGAGGTGGTCGCTGAGAAGGGGCGGGTCCTGGCTGAGCTTCGCCCCTCTGCCTCTCCCATTGGCCTGTCACTGTGTGGTCAGCCTCAAGGACCACCTTTACGTGCTGGGGGGCTGGACGCCACAGGTGAGCAGGGATGTCAGTCAATAAACCAATCAATCACATATAGGTTATGTGATGCTTTTACAAATGCAATTGTTACAAAGTGCAACTTGGGAAAAACTCTCATCCTCCTCCCTTCTCACCCCCAACCTCTCTCTCCCCCCCCTCCAGTCGGACCGTCCAGACGATGAGCCAGACAGGCTGAGTCGCCGTGTGTTCCAGTTTGACCCAGGCAAGGACCGGTGGATAGAGTGTGAGAACATGAGGTACTCACGCTACCGCTGTGGGGTCGCTACACTCAATGGAGAGATCTACATCCTAGGTTAGACCAGTGTTTTGTCTTTCTTTTTCTCACTTCATCCAGATGGAGGCATGAGGGCAAAAACAGTTGGAACATATACTGAACCAAAATATAAACGCAACATACTGAGTTACAGTTCATATATGGAAATCAGTCAATTGAAATAAATAAATTAGGCCCTAAACTATGGACTTCACATGACTGGGAATACAGATATGCATCTGTTGGTCACAGATACCTTTAAAAAAAGTAGGGGAGTGGATCAGAAAACCAGTTAGTATCTGGTGTGACCACCATTTGCCTCATGAAGCGTGACACATCACCTTTACATAGAGTTGATCAGGCTGTTGATTGTGGCCTGTGGAATGTTGTCCCACTCCTCTTCAATGGCTGTCGTACATGTCAATCCAGAGCATCCCAAACATGCTCAATGGGTGACATGTCTGGTGAGTATGCAGGCCATGGAAGAAGCGGGACATTTTTATCTTCCAGTAGTTGTGTACAGATCCTTGCGACATTGGGCCGTGCATTATCATGCTGAAACATGAGGTGATTGCGGCGAATGAATGACACTACAATGGGCCTCAGGACCTTGTCACGGTATCTCTGTGCATTCAAATTGCCATCAATAAAATGCAATTGTGTTTGTTGTCCGTAGCTTATGCCTGCCCATACCATAACCCCACCGCTACCATATGGCACTCTGTTCACAACGTTGGCATCAACAAACCGCTCACCCACACAACACCATACATGTGGTCTGCGGTTGTGAGGCCGGTTGGACGTAGTACCAAATTCTCTAAAACTGCACATTTTAGAGTGGCCTTTTATTGTCCCCAGCACAAGGTGCACCTGTGTAAGGAGCAGGCTGTTTAATCAACTTCTTGATATGCCACACCTGTCAGGTGGATGTATTATCTTGGCAAAGGAGAAATGCTCACTAACAGAGATGTAAACAAATTTGTGGACAAAATTTGAGAGAAATAAGCTTTTTCTGCGTATGGATCAATGTCTGGGATCTTGTATTGCAGCTCATGAAACATGGGACCAACACTTTAGATGTTGCGTTTATATTTATTTTCAGTGTATATGTGTGTTCTCCAGGGGGTATAGGGTGTGAGGGGGAGGACCAGGGCCAATCTCGTCGCTGCCTGAGCTCAGTGGAGATCTACAACCCAGAAGAAGATACCTGGAGATCAGGGCCAACCCTCCCCACCGCTCTCCTCTCTCTACGAACCAACGCCTCCAACATTGGGGAGGTGGAGGGCAAGCTGTACCTCTGTGGCTACTACAAGGGGGCAGGTGAGAACTGAACACATCTATACTGATCAATCAATAAATGAATCAATCAATTATCAATCATATTTTGACAGGTCGCCATGAGATCATCACCAAGGAGATCTTAGAGCTGGATCCCAAGGACAACGTGTGGACGGTGGTGGAGCGTCGAGCAGCCATGCATGACAGCTACGACGTCTGTCTGGTGGCCAACCTCAACCCCCGTGATCTCTCAACCCTGACCTCTGACCCTTGATGGATACAGGACAAAAATGGCCTATTCAGAGGACGAGAAAACACAGAGACAATATTGCACAAAGAAGGACTCATGTTGCTATAGGCCTACCCTATAACTTTGTTTCATCATCAAGACATGATAGCCTATTAACTTATAAGTACTGTATGTGGTATCCCTCAGAAGAAAGGATAAGGTATGGAAATCAATTGCTTTGTAAACTCACACTCTGTAAGGACAGCCTAAGCTACAGACCAGGGGTATTCAACTCTTACCCTATGAGGTCCGGAGACTGCTGGTTTTCTGTTCTACCTGATAATTCATTGGTGTCCCAGGTCTAAATCAGTCATTGATTAGAGAGGAACAATGAAAAAATGCAGTGGAACTGGCTTCCAGGTCCACAGTTGAGTTTGAGGGCTATAGACTACTAGCCTATCACGCAGACTCCACTGTCTGCATGTTGTTATGCCTTTACTAACATCTGAACTCTGTATTTCAATAAAATACGAATTAAGACATTCAGAACTTCCAAATATTTCATTTCTGGTCTGTAGGCCTATTTCTTTCCTTCCACAATACATCTTCACAGCTTAAACATTTGCTGGATCTTTAATTGATGTCCATCTCAAGCATTTATTTTTCTGTGCACACTCTCTGGGGAACGGAAAACAAACAAGTCTGATTGAACGCGTCATTCCTCAAGGATGTGTCCCGACCTACTAGAACGTTGTTTACGTGCCAAGCATTCCTTCTCCTTCTCCTACTGTTCGGCATTGTCAAAAATAGGTCGGCGTGTGACGCTGCTTGTTGCTATGACAGCTGGCATCGGTATGGGCTGGGGCGGATCCACCAACCCAATGGGACCATGTGGTTCTCACTGCTGATGCTGATTTGTTGTGTTTTGTTTTCAGATAGAGGCAGGAGGAGAGAGAGAGCGAGTATGAACAGCAGCATTAGAACGGGATGCGAGACCAATGGAATAGATGTTGAAGAAAGAATGGCTGGCACGTGCTGAAGTCTGCTGTTTCCCTAATAGCCTGAGGTCTGGGGTTATTAACCGAATACCCTTTTGAGATTTAATTTCCTGTAGCATAATGAATAATTGACAGTAGCCTGGTGTTTTGTTGCCTGGGAAATTTGAGGCGTCCTTTATTTTTTTTATTTTTTTGTAGGCATAGAGAAAAATAACCAATCCCGCGTCAGTTTATAAAATCTTTCGGTAGCCAAGTAGGCAACTAGTTGCGACAGGTGCGCACTGCGCGAGACCAGGATGGGCAGGCGGGAAATTCGCGGAGACCACCATAGCAGCAGCAGCGTGATGAGCACTGAAGACCGGAGAGAGAACCTGCAGGACACTGTAGATACTGAAACCGGCGATGATGGCTCCGAGACCTCAAGTCTTGACAGCCGTCATCTCCTCAGCGGGGACAAGCTCCCCCGCCACACCGGGGATAGTGGCTCTATTGGTGCCCGGCATCAGCTGGCAGGCCTGGTGGAAGTGAAGAAGCACCAACATAAACACAACTTGAAGCACCGCTACGAGGTAATGGAGACGCTGGGGAAAGGCACCTACGGGAAAGTGAGGAGGGCGGTGGAGAGAACGACCAGGAAGACAGTAAGTGTTGTGTTTTTTTTGTGTGAAATATGTCTCTGCCCATCTCGATTATATTCTGTCCTCCCTTTCCATGTGTTAGCCTTTTATGTCGTATTATAACCTACATGTTCACTTTACAGACATTAGGCCAACTCATCATTGCAACCAACTGTTTCTGAATGTGTGCTGCCTTCTATGTTAGGGCCACCAAGGCAAAATATGGATCTGCTATTGACATTTTGTTTGTTCCCTGTATTGTGCGTTTTCTATATCAGTCGAACAAAGGGACCCCCAGATGATGTGTGTGTGTGGTATGTGTGTGTGCTCTTGACCTTGGCTGTGCCTGGAAGTCTCAGATAGCTGTCCTTCAGTTATGTTTTGGTTCTTATCAGAAATGTGTGTGTGTTATTAATTATTAATATGTGATAGAGGACAGATTGGACAGGGAAGGTCTAATGAATATATGCATACTTGTGTGTGTGTGTGCCTGCCATCTGTAGTGGATGAGCTCATACCCGCTGCTATGCCAGGGATCAGGGGCCTTCTGGGGGCCTGGGGGCCTAGGCCACCTTCTAGGTATCTGACCCATTGCCCTTGATCCCTCACACACTTTCACTGGCATGCACCCACCCACACACAGACACCCAAAGACAGGAGGGCAAGCAGCCTAGCGGTTAAATTGTTGGGACAGTAACTGAAAGGTTGCTTGTTTGAATCCCTAAGCTGTCAAGGTGGAAAAATCTGCCATTCTGCCCTTGAGCAAGGTAGTTAACCCCCACAACTATTCCCCGGACTTCGATTAAGGCAGCCCCGTGTTAAATGTGGAAGACACATTTCGGTTGAATGCATTCAGTTGTGTAACTGACTAGGTTTTCCCATCCACACACAGACCAAATGTAACAGACATAGTTCCATTCTAGGTCTAATGTATGAAGGATTGGTTATTTTAAAGGGAATACAAACGATATGACATGCACACATTATTATGATTTGCAATATGGCTATTGGCTATCTATTACTGTACCTGAGAAAAAAGAATACATTATGCTGAGAGAGAGAGAAAGAGAGAGAGAGAGAAAGAGTGAGAGAGAAAGAGAGAGATTATGCTGAGCGAGAGAGAGAGAAAGAGAGAGAGAGCGAAAGAGAGTGAGAGAGAGAGTTTTGTGAGTGTAATGTTTACTGTACATTTTTATTGTTTATTTCACTTTTGTTTATTATCTATTTCACTTGCTTTGGCAATGTAAACATATGTTTCCCATGCCAATAAAGCCCCTTGAATTGAATTGAATAGAGAGAGAGAGAGAGAGAGAGAGAGAGAGAGAGAGAGAGAGAGAGAGAGAGAGAGAGAGAGAGAGAGAGAGAGAGAGAGAGAGAGAGAGAGAGAGAGAGAGAGAGAGAGAGAGAGAGAGACTTGTTTTGTTTTGTTTTAATGGTTTTGTTGCCTGTAGGTCAGGACTTAATCCTTCAGTCTAATGTGAGCTGAAGACAAAGAGATAGATACCCCTAACCCCTATCCCCTTTCTGATTTTTAGTAAACAAACATGGTATTATAGAGATCATCTGATTGAATATCAGATTAGGAGACTAGGACTAGCCCAATCCTGTCACTGTCTGCTACTGTACTGTACTGTACTGTACTGTACTGTACTGTACTGTACTGTACTGTACAACCAGTACCTCATTCCTACATTTACTGGAGAGAGGTAGATAGAGCATGAAAGAGAGAGAGATGAGAGGGAGAGAGAGAGGGAGTTGTAAACCACACTATCTACCAAGAGAGTTTTCATCTATATTCTTCGTAGCTGTCTATTTACCACCACAAATCGATGCTGGCACTAAGACTGCACTCAATGAACTGTATACGGCCATAAGCAAACAGGAAAACTCTCATCCAGAGGCTGCACTCCTAGTGGCCGGGGACTTTAATGAAGGGAAACTTAAATCAGTTTTACCTCATTTCTACCAGCATGTTAAAAGGGGGAAAAAAAGGGAAAAAAAACTCTAGACCACCTTTACTCTACACACAGAGATGCGTACAAAGCTCTCCCTCACCCTCCATTTGGAAAATCTGACCATAATTCTATCCTCCTGATTCCTGCTTACAAGCAAAAACTAAAGCAGGAAGCACCAGTGACTCGGTCAATAAAAAAGTGGTCAGATGAAGCAGATGCTAAGCTACAGGACTGTTTTGCTAGCACAGACTGGAATATGTTCCGGGATTCTTCCGATGGCATTGAGGAGTACACCACATCAGTCACTGGCTTCATCAATAAGTGCATTGATGATGTCGACCCCACAGTGACTGTACGTACATACCCCAACCAGAAGCCATGGATTACAGGCAACATCCGCACTGAGCTAAAGGGTAGAGCTGCCGCTTTCAAGGAGCGGTACTCTAATCCGGAAGCTTATAAGAAATCCAGCTATGCCCTCCAACGAACCATCAAACAGGCAAAGCGTCAATACAGGACTAAGATCGTATTGTACTACACCGGCTCCGACGCTCGTCGGATGTGGCAGGGCTTGCAAACTATTACAGACTACAAAGGGAAGCATAGCCGTGAGCTGCCCAGTGACGCAAGCCTACCAGACGAGCTAAATTACTTCTATGCTCGCTACAGAGGGTAGTGTGTACGGCCCAGTACATCACTGGGGCCAAGCTTCCTGCCATCCAGGACCTCTATACCAGGCAGTGTCAGAGGAAGGCCCTAAAAATTGTCAAAGACTCCAGCCACCCTAATCATAGACTGTTCTCTCTGCTACCGCATGGCAAGCGGTACCGGATCGCCAAGTCTAAGTCTAAGAGGCTTCTAAACAGCTTCTACCCCCAAGCCATAATCTTTACTTTTTTTTTTTTAAACTTTTTTTATCCAAAGCGATTTACAGTCATGTGTGCATACATTTTTACGTATGGGTGGTCCCGGGGATCGAACCCACTACCCTGGCGTTACAAGCGCCATGCTCTACCAATTGAGCTACAGAGGACCATAAGACTCCTGAACAGCAAATCATGGCTACCCGGACTATTTGCATTGCCCCCCACCCCTCTTTTACGCTGCTGCTACTCTCTGTTTATTATCTATGCATAGTCACTTTAATAACTCTACCTACATGTACATATTATCCCAATTACCTCGACTAACCGGTGCCCCCGCACATTGACTCGGTACCGGTACCCCCTGTATATAGCCTCGCTATTGTTATTTTTACTGCTGCTCTTTAATTATTTGTTACTTTATTTCGTATTATTTTATATTGTATTGTTTTGTGATTTTTTTGTTGGTATACTTTCGTAAAACTGCATTGTTGGTTAAGGGCTTGTAAGTAAGCATTTCACTGTAAGGGCTACACCAGTTGTATTCGGCGCATGTGACAAATAAAATGTGATTTGATTTTATTTGAGATGGGGGTAGAATTCCTTGAGCCAGTGGCCAGTGCATACTGAGAATTCTTTGAGACAAACTGACCATATTTTTGGAAACAGGATCAGGAGATGTTGTCTGAGTCTATGGAAAAGGAGGGAATATAGAGGGCCGGGGCATTGACTCCAGATTAGGGTCGGAACATTTTGGCATCCTTACAGACGGCCTGCTAATGGAGACAAGAGTCTGGGAGGGAGGGAGGGAGGGGGAGAGGCTGGGGTATATCAGTACAGTAAGCTGTGCTGAAGGTCACTTTCACTGACTGAATGTGGGACTGAATGTGTACTAAATCCATCATTGGACAGATTATAAGAGGGCAGTGGAACTCCCTCTTATGTCAGATAAGGCTCTGCCACCCAGCAAGTACACTACTTTTATATTTGTACTATACACTGTATGTATTCTTCCCACCTCGGCCCACTATGGAAAAGAACACCCACTTAACCCTGTGTTACAAGTGACCACTTACATTTCCTGTGCATAGAGTTAATATTGACATTGAGAATCTCTCTCTCTCTCTCTCTCTCTCTCTCTCTCTCTCTCTCTCTCTCTACACCCTAGTCATTGTCCTTTTAGGAATGCTGTGTGTTCCTGTAGGTGTCAAGAAGAGAACAATATCCAGAGTGCTCCCAGTTCTCCTTCCGTTAACCCCATGCCCCACTCTCCCTCATGCTCTCCACTGCCCCCTCTCACACCCCTTTTCCGCCCTCAACCTCCAATACTCTTACCATGTAAGCCTTCTCACCAAATGCTAGCCCTCCCTCCCCTCCTCCCTTAGTCTCCACTGCCCCCTTCTCCCCCACCATCCTTCACCGCCCTCCACTGCCACTTTCTCCCCCACCATCTTTCACCCCCCTCCACTGCCCCTTTTCCCCCCACCATCCTTCACCCCCCTCCACTGCCCCCTTCTCCCCACCATCCTTCACTGCCCTTCACAGCCCCCTTCTCCCCCACCATTCTTCACCCGCTCCTCTGCCCCCTTTGCACCCACCATCCTTCACCCTTCTCCTCTGCCCCCTTCTCCCCCACCATCCTTCAACACCCTCCTCTCTCCCCTTCTCCCCCACCATCCTTCAACCCCCTCCTCTGCCTTTCTCCCCCACCATCCTTCAACCCCCTCCTCTGCCCCCTTCTCCCCCACCATTCTTCAACCCCCTCCTCTCTCTCCTTCTCCCCCACCATCCTTCAACCCCCTCCTCTGCCTTTCTCCCCCAACATACTTCAACCCCCTCCACTGCCCCCTTCTCCCCCACCATCCTTCACCCCCTTCACTGCCCCCTTCTCCCCCACCATCCTTCACCCCCCTCCACTGCCCCCTTCTCCCCCACCATCCTTCACTGCCCTCCACTGCCACCTTCTCCCGCACCCTCCTTCTCTCCCACCATCCTTCACCCCCTTCACTGCCCCCTTCTCCCCCACCATCCTTCACCCCCCTCCACTGCCCCCTTCTCCCCCACCATCCTTCACTGCCCTCCACTGCCACCTTCTCCCTCACCATCCTTCACTGCCCTCCACAGCCCCCTTCTCCCCCACCAACCTTCACCCCATCCTCTGCCCCCTTCTCCCCCACCATCCTTCAACCCCATCCTCTGCCCCCTTCTCCCCCACTAGGTACAGTGCCTTGCAAAAGTATTCATCCCCCTTGGCGTTTTTCCTATTTTGTTGCATTACAACCTGTCATTTAAATGGAATTTGAATGGACATACACAAAATAATCCAAATTGGTGAAGTGAAATGAAAAAAATAACTTGTTTCAAATAAACAACGGAAAAGTGGTGCGTGCATATGTATTCACCCCCTTTGCTATGAAGCCCCTAAATAAGATCTGGTGCAACCAATTACCTTCAGAAGTCACATAATTAGTTAAATAAAGTCCACCTGTGTGCAATCTAAGTGTCACATGATCTGTCACATGATCTGTATATATACGCCTGTTCTGAAAGGCCCCAGAGTCTGCAACACTACTAAGCAAGGGGCACCACCAAGCAAGCGGCACCATGAAGACCAGGGAGCTCTCCAAACAGGTCAGGGACAAAGTTGTGGAGAAGTACAGATCAGGGTTGGGTTATAAAAAAATATCAGAAACTTTGAACATCCCACGGGGCACCATTAAATCCATTATTAAAAAATGGAAAGAATATGGCACCACAACAAACCTGCCA